GAAAGTTACCCATGGTGCAAGAAATTTAAGTGAGATAAAAGAGTGTATTTAATTGGCTATATTTAGTCAGCTAGGGCATTTAATGTTTATGATATTCAAAAATGTTTCTCACTGAGACAGTCTACACTGGTACTATGCTTCCCTTTGTTCAGAATGTCTTCAAAGCATAGCAATGCCTTGTTTTTAAGTAATTTTAAGCATGGTGTGAAATGAATGGTTTTTGAGTCATTTGACAAGTTGAATTTTTAATTTCTGAATCATTAATATGAGTGATGTCTAAACAAATTCTGCTTAAGTAACTACTTCATTGCCCAGGTGCAGCAATTAGTTTATCTGAGTTTTTAATTAATAGCTGGGTGCCTTGGGACTCTAAAACAGCAACTTCCAACTCTGATCCCAATCGCTGTTATATCTATAGTAGTTTCATATTATTATTATTATTATTATTATTATTATTATTTTAATCCTCACCCAAGGATATGTTTTTATTGATTTTAGAAAGAGAGGAAACGAGAGGGAGAGACAGAGAAATATCGATGTGAGAAAGAAACATCAGTTGCCTCCTGTATGTGCCCTGACCAGGGATCGAACCCAAAACCTGGATATGTGCCCTGACCAGGAATCGATCCTGTGACCCTTCGGTGTATGGGACGATGCTCCAACCAAATGAGCCACACTGGCCAGGGCTATAGTAGTTTCAAAGACACATAACAGCCAGTACACGACATTAACCAGGAAAAAGTCCATCCTTAAAATCCTTAGGGGTTGAAGGAGATTTTTGTTCCCATGCATTTTGTTGCCATTCACCTTTTGTACAGAGCCACTAGGGAACAGGAGGCTGGGAGAGCCAGTATTCCTGCAGTGGTTCTGGTACATCACCATTCAGCCTTCAGTCTAATTATAAAGTCCCTGAGCCATGAGGAAAGAGGCACCTCTGACAGCTCTTCTCAGTGAATCCCAGATGGTCACAGAGGAAGGAAGCGGCGTGGTGGAGCAAGCAATTCACGGAGGAAGATCCTCAGCAATAGTGAAGTTAAAGTTCTCTGGAGGGACCAGACCCAGCATTATATAGACACTTAGGGTTCCACTTCCTGTGGAAATTCTAATTGGGTCTAGTGAACTGTTTAGAGGATCCTATTTTTCTTAGAACCTCTCTTGCCCTGTCTTCTTCCTTCCACTCTCTCTATTGAATTTTCTAAAACTCTTATGTTGATCTATGCCCAAAGTATACCCCATGTATCAGTCAGGGTTCTCCAGAGAAACAGTACCAGTAACACACAAACACACACACACACACACACACACACACACCTTTATTTTATGGAATTGGTTAGTCCAAAATCTGTAGGGTGGATTGGTAGGCTGGAAACTCAGCCAGGGGGTTGATGTTGCAGTCTTAAATTTGAAGTGTATAGGACAGACTGGCAGACTAAAAACTCTAGCAGGATTTTATGCTGCATATTTGAGGCAGAATTTCTTCTCCAGGAAACCTGTTTTTGCTCCTAAGGCCTTCAGCTGATTAGATAAGGCCTACTCACATTATCAAGAGGAATCTCTTTTACCTAAGGCCAAGTGATTGTACCTATTAATCACGTATACAAAATACCTTCAAACAACACCTACATGAGTATTTGATTACATAATTGAATACCATACCCTAGCCAAGTTGACACGTAAGACAAACCCCCACATGAAAATAATTACAGAAGTAGCTATACTTTATTGGGCATTTACAATGTGCCAAGTATAATGCTAGATACGTCACATGAACTATATTATTTAGTACCCACAACAACCCCATGAGGGAAGTATTATTAATCCTATTTTACAGATGAAGAAACTGAGGTTTAGAGCAGCTAAGCAATTTGCTTAAATTCACACAATGAGTAAGCCATTGAGTCAGGACTCAAACCTAAGCCTAACTCTTGACAAGTCCATGTTCTAGGTAATCCCTTTGGTGTCTGACAGATTTCCTGTGCTTGCTTAGTCCCCTGGTCTCTAGTGATCATGGAAACTACCTCAAAGCTGAGAGTCATAGGTCTGAGAGTGGCCAGCACATTCACAGTCATTCTCAGTACTAGCTCCCAGTTCCCAAAACCACATGAATTTCCAAAGAATTCCAACAGTGTGTTTAAGCAATGTTAAGAGTGAGAGGCAGGTAGGCAAGCCTAACCACTCACTCTGGTTTAGAAAATAACACCCTCAGACTGAAGTTTCCACTTTCCATGTTAGAGAAATGCCTAACATTGCCCAGATTCATAACCTGCTATGATATCAGGATTTTGCAGATCAACCCTCTTAACTACTAACATTTCAATCACTAAATCCTTCAAGTTTGTCTTTGGGACCCACCTCTTCTAATTATTTCTCTCTTTTTATGATTATCAGAAGTGCATTGCTCTCATATTTTCTTCTTCATAATCTCACTCAAAACCCATCTTCTTAGGAAAAAAATGTTTAAAATTATTCACTCCAATGTTATCTTTCCCAGTAGTGATATTTGCATTTGAGTGAAACCTTTATATAAAAGACTATATTTCTAATCATGGAATATTAGCCAACAGCTGAGGAGGTATGTAATGGCTATGGAGCCTTCTAATTGTGGTTGTTCTGAATAATCCCCTGTTATCACTTGTCTGCCTTGTTAATGTCTAGGCCTATTCAAGAGAAATTCCCTTTCTGCTCAGGTCCTAATACTTTCCCCGTATCAATTTCAGGAGATAAATCTGAAAACTAAGAAGATTATGAAGCAGTGTAAGAATTAGGCTTATATGTATTTCCACCAATACTGCTAATAAGAATGAACATTGAAAAAAAAGGGACATCTGTAATACTTTCAACAATAAAGATAAAAAAAAGAAGAACATTGAGTATTTTTTTAATCCTCACAGTAACTCTGGAAGGTAGGTATAATTATTATTGCCATTTTACAGATAAAGAATAAAGAAATAGTGAGTAGTGGAGCCATGTTGAAATCTAGAACTTACTCACTGTAAAACCCAGGGCTTAACAAGTACAGCTAAACATCCAACCCAGAGAAACAGGGTGCAGAGAAATAATGCATGAAAGCAACAAAATTAGCTCTGGGGAGATTTATCAAAGTTGACTCTTGGGTACATCAAAATCCCAGTCCTAAATTCCGATTTCTAACAGTTACCTACTTTAAAAAATGAGATATGTTTCTGCAAAATTTGAGGTTGGGAGAGGGAGTTTTAAACCAGTAGATTTTAAGTAATACAAAAAAAGTCAATTCATATGATATGGGTTTTAAATTTCCAAATTACAAAGTTAGGCAGCAGTTACCTTCCTTTTAAGGCTTGGGGCTTTATGTTATACAGTGTTTTATTTTTCCAAAAGAACTCTCTTTGAGGATTATTTCAGATGTCAGCTGGGGAATCCCCTTTCCTCACAGAGAACTCACTCCCCAGTTGCTGAGATTTATAAAATCCGATGTCCTGACTAGGATTTCTGTTAATATCGAGTGGCTTATAATATCATGGTCATCTCTGTCTTTATCTCATATTTTTGGGCTCGCTGTTTTTGTTCCTCTTTCATTAATGTCTTCCAAGAACTCAGCCTCTCATGAGTTTTCATGAGAAACTCACTTCCATCAACATTTTGTGAATTTTGGTAGACTTTTCTGAAGATGTGTGCGGTCATGAAGAGGGCCACTTCAGTGACTCCACTCTCCTCTCTTCCCTTGCCCCTTTCTCTCATCCACCCTACTCCCTTGCAGAAGCAGAGCAAATTCTTCACCTGGCTTTCTGCAGAGCAATTTAGCAAGCTTGATGCTTGAACCCTTTACACCAGCATTCTCTCCAAGTTTTTCCTCCAGCAAATACTGCCCTTTCCTTGAGAGTAATTCTGGTAAGGGAAAGAAAGTATCGACTCTATTGCTGAGAAATGTTTCACTTGGTTCTGGGAAAACAGAGCTTTTTTACGATTTTTTTTTTTTTTAAACAAATGTGCCTGTTAAATAGTGGTGACAGCAAAATTTTAAGTTTCTTATTAGAAAGTTATGTTAATTTTATACTTTTGGTGGATGAAAATTTACTCTAATTTGAGTGGCTTTAATTTGAGCCATTTTAGAATTTTACTTTATTTTTTGGCCTGGGCCTTTACCTATGATTGGGGTGATACCATGTTTTAATGATTACTTAATGATTAAACAACCAAGAAAGTACACACAGTGAACAAAAGGCAAACATTCCAGTTTAGTAGAGAAGTTAAAACTATACCTACTTGTGCTCATACTAATGCTGACCAGAACCTGTTCAATGTAAACATTTCAGCTACACAGGTTAGACTTGAAGTTGGGCAAAGTTCAAAGGCTCTCAATTGCACCTACTCAAAAGCTGAAGATAGGACTGTACACATCAAGCCAAACCAGGAAGCCAAATGTTGTGGGTCACTGCAGACAACCAACAAGTGATGGCTTTAAGATTCCTACATAACCAAGGCATAGGACAGACAGCCTTCTGTGTGGGAAGGTTGGGCGAGGGAACAGGCCTTGAACCTGCATTTACACAGCACTTTACACAAACTGAGTAAATACTAATTGTCTGTATCAATGACTGCGGTGCTAACGAGGACTGTAAGGATACTGAAGCCCATTCTCCCTCTCCGATGTTACCCTAGCCCTGAGGCCTGAAATGGCCTGGAGTCTTTCCAGTTTGTTGGTTTCAAACTTGAAGCCATCCCAGTCCCTGGATTGATCCAGTCCCTTAAAGTCTTTAGAATATACACATTTACTGAGCCTCAGATAGTCCTGAAAAGGTGTTCCATCCTGAACTGGTCTTTGCTTCAACCAAAGACTGGCAGCAGGTATTAATGGATTAAAAAGAGGGGCAAAAAGTAGGAGACAGTGGGACTAGGAGATTCAATCCATTCCATGCCGAAGGGAGTGTGTCCATTTTAAAGTTGTACCACAAAGGACAGTGTGGCATACTATAGATTGTCCCATACTTTAGGGTCAAACTCAGAAGAGCACATGAATTCACCTTTATAACATCCACGAAGCCTGTGCTTACTTCCTGGCTTTGGGATAACAACACTGACTTGTGAAGTTTCTTACTGACATCGGCTGATTCCGTCATTAACCGCCTTCTCTTCCTGAGGCGTTTTCCCCACCCCCAAGCGCACACATAGGCACACAGACACACTCAAATGGGCCTGCTCCTGCCCCTCCGTTATTGGAAATAAAGGGCTCTACAAGCTTCTCCCAGCTTGTATTCTCCTCCCCTGCTTCCCAGTTTTGGGGACAGCAACCAGTGGCCCCACCCTTCTTCGGGTCCTTCTGGATGGAGAGGAGCAGGTCACTTGCTCATTTCCCTCTTTGCCTCATGCCTCCTGAAATGCAGCTTTATCTTCCCGCAGCTTTCGGACCGCACTCCTGGTGCACAGAGGCACTGCGAGGAATACCAGCCTGCCTCTAATCGAGCATAAGCTCACGTATGTCAAAAAACACCGCACATAAATTAAAAGGTGAACAACAGCCAAGGGGAAAACGGTTCACATTCTTACTACGTAAAGGACACCTCTACAAGTCAATAGGAAAAGACACTAACAGGCCAACAGAAAAACTGACGGTTAGAAACTAAGTAATTCCCAAAGTTTGCTCAGGCTGGTATTAGCAAAGGCCAGGATTTTAACCCATGTCTGTCTAACTCCACAAAGGGAGGAATATTTGAAAAAGAAGTCGGTTAAGAATCAGAACCTTTTGGGTATGTGGTCATAATACATTTATTGGCTTTTTCATTGGTATTTTAAATTTTAATTGTTTTATAGTGGAGTAAAGAGCAAGAATTCAGTGCTGGTTGAAATCCCTTTTGAAAAGTGGTTACAGAAGCTGGAGAAGACATGCAGGAGGCAGGACCAGAGGTGAAGTCCAGAGAAAAATTGAATCTTTTCCCAAGATCCTGTAAGCATACCATACCTTTTAAACATGAGCCCAAGAAAAGTGCAGTTATTATGTAGCACAGTTTCATACACGCCAATGTATTTGTTGTTATAATTATTTCAGTTTCTCGAAGATTGGTTTAATTAGCATAGCAGATTGTATTTTTAAAAGGCGGCTACAACAATCTCTCCCATTCTACATATGCTTCTAGAACCACGCCACTCTCCCACTATGAGGTGAAATCCATGTCTCTTCTCCCCTAGGGTGAGCCTTTGTGGCCGCCTTGACCAGTAGAGTACTGTAGAAATCACACTGTGCTATGCACTTCCACCTTGTTCTCTCTGAGTCACAGAGGCCCACATAGAGAGGAGACAAGCTCCTAGAAACAGCCAGCTCCCACTCACCAGGCATGTGAACAAGCCACCTTAAATGTGGATCTTTCCGGCCCCAGTTCAGCTGCTTTAGCTGATGCCAAATGAAGCAGAGATAAACCATCCAAATTAAACCTACCCAAATGGCAGATTCATGAGCAAAACAAATGAGCGTTATTATTTTAAGCCTCTATGTTTTGAGGTAGATCGTTATATACCAATTAATCAATGAAATGATTAGGATAAATGGTCAGAGATTATAGTGTGCCTACCATAATATTACACTCATTTCAGTTGCTTATTCAATTGATTTTATACCAAGACCTGTTCTTTGTGCTGGGGGTACAACAGTGATTGCAACAAATAATGTCCCTTCCCTGCCTTGATTGAGTGCTTGAAGTAGGGAGGGCTGACAGACAATAAATTAACAATAAATTTATAATTGCTAGGTGGTAGTAAATGCTGTGGATAAAAAGCAGGACATGGGACGTTCCATTTTCGATGGAGTGGTTAGGAAAAGGCCTTTCTGAAAAAGAAGACAATTGAATAGAGACCTGAACACATCAAATGAACATCTAGGGGATGCATGGTCCAGACAAAGGGAATAATTAGTGCAAAGGCTCCGAGACAGGAGTGGCTTAGAGGCTGGTACTTTGGAGTAGAATGAAGAGAAAAGAAGGAGAAGAGATGAAGTCAGAGAAACGTGGGTGGAAGGTGGTCAGAGCATGTAGGGCTCCACAGAACGTGGTGAGGACTTTGGCTGTTGGAGGGTTTTGAGGACAGAAGGGCATGATCTGACTTATATTTTCAAAAGATCAGTCTTGTTGTGCAGAGAATATAGTGTAGGGGCAGAAGGTTCAAAGCAGACAGACCTGTTAAGAGGTGAATGCGATGATCCAAGTAACAGATCATGGTATTTTGGATCAGGGCATGAAAAGTGGTCAGATATTTTGTATATGTGTGTATTTAAAATACATCCATTAGGATATGGGTGTGGAACTTGATAAAGAGAGAGACATCAAGTATGGCTCTTAAAGTTTTTGGTGTTGCTTGCTCTATAGCAAGAACATCTTCTGTATTTGTCCTGTTTCCTCTGTTAGAGACTGGAGTTTCTCTGTGTAGTCAGTCATAGAATGGGTATGATGTCAGTATCAAGTGCCTTCAGGACACTGTGCCTTGAAGCACAGACTCTCCAAGATGCTGATCCCACACAGAAATGAGGGAATGACTCAGCATGGTGACCATCACTTTGAAGTTGTCTTTAACATATAATTACACCTTTTTGTTTGTAATATTTCATTGAAAAAGTTGACCCAGGAGACAGGGAGAATCCAGAAATTTACTCTCATATGCTAAGGGGAGAATCAGCCACAGTCATTTCTGTTATTTCTCCCAAAAAATGTGATGGACTTTCATGTGTGTACCTTGGGTCCCCCCTATATGACCAAAGTAGCTGAAGAGGGAGAAAAATGTTGTTAGTGTCATTTAACAAGTGGAGTCTCAAAAGGATTTATGGAGTTGATATTTTAAGCAAACAAAAACAAAATAAGACTATGGTCACTTTTGATGATTTCAAGAAAGATGTAGAAACATAATTTTAATTTCCAGGCAGGTCTCTTACCACCTAACACACTCCTAGCCAGCTACTTCTATCCCTTTATTTCAGAACCCCCTCAATGTTGTGGCAATAAGAGATTTTTAAGGCAAGCAGGATGGATGATGACCTCCCTTAAAGCAGCACTGATTTACGAAGCTTAGCAATTTCTAGACTTTTCTAACTTTTTCTTTTCTAACTTTTTCTTTTTCCGATAAAGTTAGTCTCTAGGAAACTATTTAAATATTACTGAATCATTTAAATATTTTCACTTCCATGTATTAACTAACCAACCATCTGATAAAGTAGTGCTGAACTTTCCAGATTTGTCCTGAGACTGCTTTCTTCAGGCTTCAAGAGCTTCCCTCCTATTTCCAATAATATGGGCTTCATCTGGCAAACAGGACTATGTCCTTCAGTTCACACTGATCAGATTTTGTAAGTCTTCATTTTTTGGAAGTTTGTAATGCTTCAGGTTCAGCCTGATAACTTAGAAGAGAACAGTTTTCTAGCTGCAGTTTCACCTTCATTTTTTATTTTTTCCACCTTGATTTTTAAACAAAGTTAATTGTAGTTAGTCTAAGCCAAAGAATATTTACATCTCAGTCCAACAAAAATACATAAGGGAATATTCCAGAGTCAAATATGCACTCATGGAGTTTTCAGAGTATGACGCCTCTCTTTTGAAGGCAGGCTCAGATCTGAAGATTGCACTGCTGATAGCCACCCACATTCCACTGTGATAGGCTGTGGCATCCATTTCTTTATTTGTAAAACACAGATAATAATACTATCTATTAGAGTAGTTTTGAGATCAAAAGAGATAATGTAATAAATGCTAACATAGACTCTGACACACAGTAAATTCTCAATAGATATTCTGTTTCTAAAATATAGAAATCCTAAAGTCCACTCTCTTTCCCCCATTCCCTGCCTCCCCAGTCAAGTCTGAGATTAGTGCAACAGAGCAGTCTAAAGGGAAAGGGGCTTAAATCCTGTGGTCTTTGGTGGGTATGAAGTTTCCAGGAAGGACCTCCTTTGACCCAGGCAAGAGGGGTCCTTGCCCTGGCACCACACTTTATAAAACCCTGCATATCACAAACATACTGAAAGGTAAATTTATTAAAGAATGCATGGCTATGGCTGTCTCTGTCACTCAGAGCTGGCATTCAGCTCAGACCAGAAACCCTAAGCATCTGCCCTGGTAATCAACACCTTCCAGGCGCCAGGGAAATGCTACTCCACATTTCTTGTGCTATGTCCTTGAAACAAAAGTCAATTGTGTCTAAATGTCATGAAGGTTGCGGGTTTATGCTACTGGTGGCCTTTGAAATGGACACTGCTTTGGAGTGCAGGAGGATTTGAGTAATGGAAATTTTTTAGATAAGAGGGGAAAAACAATTAACTTGTCAAATCCTTTTTTCTGAATATGTGAATGCAAAAGATTTTTTTAAAAATATATCTTTATTGATTTCAGAGAGAGGAAAGGAGGAGAGAGAGAGATAGAAACATCAATGATGAGAGAGTCATTGATCAAGCCCACAACCCGGGCATGTGCCCTGACCGGGAATCGAACCCCGATCGCCTGGATCCTAGGTCGACGCTCAACTGCCGAGCCACGCCTGGCCGGGCGCAAAATATTCTTGAATAATGAAGTTTCATGTCTGAGAAGAGCCAAGCCTCCATTTTGTTTATTTTTATGTTCCAGTTCCTGGTTCCAGAGGTATTCATCATATTAAAACAGATTTGATGTAGACAAGATATGAGATACTGTACAAGAGTGAAGTGAAACAACAGAAGGTGCTCCAATAAAGAGCAAATCAGTCTTTGGCAGAAAAATGAACTTTGAATTTGTGCTATCCAGTTATTTGGTGCTCACTTTTAATAATGTTAGTACATGCGTTCAAAACCCAAACAGATCTAAATTATTAAGGGATTAACATTTTAGACAAAATTTTGTTTTAATTGAAAGAAATCACATGAGAAATAGTCAACAAATGTGTCATTTTAATTAAATATAAGAAAATTAGAACATGAAAACAAAGGAAGTTTGCACGATTGTGAAAAAGAAAATTAATGTACAAATAAACCTAAAACTAGGACGTCAGCATCACGGTGGAGTAAGAAACCTCTGTCTCTCCCCTTAAAGTTGCAGCAAGTTAAACAACTATAATTCAACAAAGAATTCCCTGTTCAACAAACATGTCTAAGAGATCAGTGCATTGAGACATC